AGTGTAGCCAGGAATTGTTAAGGCAAGAGAAATGAAGGAAAAGGTTTCACAATTTCATATGAAAGTGTTTGGGATGGATAAATCTAAATTGCTGCTACTGTGCATTATGGCGAACTTCCTATTCAGCACCCCATTATCTGAGTAATGCAAAACACCTAAAGTAAGAGGAACAAAATGTTAATTTATAGGCCTGTGCGAGTCTGCAGTGATCCGATCCAGCTTCGGATCTGGCTGGTTCAGATGGCAGTGATCCAATCCAGAGCTCTGGACTGGGTTTCCACCTCAGAACCGCCTCGGAGATCTGGCCATAGGGTATAATGGGGAATCAATTAAATATCTATAACTTTGTTGTTTTTTGTCCGATTTGGATGAAACTTTGCAGGCATGGTAGCCTCTGCTGAGAGCATGAAACCTGCCAAGTTTCAAGAAGATCAGTGCAGGAGTTTGGGAGGAACTGTACCCCAAATTCTTGAAAGCCAAACTCATGCCACGTCTATATGTTACAATGGGGGGAAGGGGGTAAAACTGCAGGGCTGGTAGCTCTTACTGAGGCCACAAAGCCTGCCAAGTTTCAAGGAGATGGGTGCAGGGGTTTGTGGGGAACTGCACCTCAAGCTGCAGACAAGCAAAACTCGTGCCATGGGTGCCTTAACACACAGCAGGGTGACAGCTGCAGGGATGGTGGCCCCTGCCGTGACACCTGCCAGCTGTCAAGGAGATTGGTGCAGGGGGGTTCTGGGGTCCTGCATCCCTAGCTGCTGACAGACAAAACGCATGCCAAGACTATGTCTGTCTTGGGGCACTTGATTGCATTGATTCTTTCCTCTCCTTAGCATGGGTTTGTAGGTGCTAACTGATGCTCGTTAAGTCATTATGTAGTAGCTAGGTCCTGTGTATTGAACTGGTCCCTGAGTCCCTGGTCCCTGAGTGAATCATGAGTGATTGATTGGTAACTGGGAACACAGCAGCTTAGCAGCCAGGCCTGCAGTAGTGTCTCCCCTCCCCGCCCCAAGACAGACACAGTCAGTCCCACAAGCACCCATGGCACGAGTTTTGCTTGTCCATACCTTGAGGGGCAGTTCCCCCCAAACCCTTGCACCGATCTTCTTGAAACTTGTCAGGCTTTGTGGCCTCAGTAAGAGCTACCAGCCCTGCAGTTTTCACCCCCCTCTGTTGTAACATATAGATGTGACAGGAGTTTTGCTTTCAAGAATTTGGGGTGCTGTTCCCCCCAAACTCCTGCACTGATCTTCTTGAAACGTGGCAAGCTTCATCCTCTCTGCAGAGTCTACCACCCCTGAAAATGTCATCCAAATCAGCCCAAAACCCCAAAGTTATAGGTATTTTATTGTTTCCCCATTATACCCTACGGTCAGATCTCCGAGGCAGCTCCAAAGCTCTTCGGGAAGCCTAACGAGGCCAGTGCTTCAACCTGGATGTGCTGCTTCAGACCCCAAAGCTTCTGAAGCTTCTCTGGATCTAAAGCTCTGCCAGTCAGTCTCACCTCCATCCTTGGCAAAATCTTTGAAAAAATTATCGAGGCTCACATTTGCGAGAGCCCGGCAGGACAAATTATGCTGAGGGGAAACCAGCATGGGTTCGTAGCAGGCAGATCGTGCCTGACTAATCTAGTCTCTTTTTATGAGCAGGTTACGAAACGCCTGG